GTCTGTTCATGTTTTCAAACGAATGCTGCAAAACTGCTTGCGAGGAAAAAGATCTATTATAATATATGGAGTAACCGAAACCGGTTCAGCACAATTTGGCTTGGAGATGGGTGCAATTACAAGTGCTTCGTCACCTTTCTATTTCCGGAACATTTTTTGCTTGGAAACACGAGAAAATACTGTAAATATGGGGCCCCCAGGGCGTTCCACCCTCCTTCCTTTAAGGGGCCCCTTAAGGGTTCCTTTAAGGGTCCCTTCAGGGTTCCTTTAAGGGTCCCTTAAGGGTTCCTTTAAGGGGTCACCTTCAAGGCAGGCAAAGAAAAGAACTCGTTTGGGCCGAGGGTCCCTTCCCCAGGAGCCGCGTCTTGTCGCCATCCCGGAGCTCGAGGGCCTGAACCAAACCCCAGGGCTTTTAAAAGGGGGTTTAGGGTTTAGGGTTTAGGTTTATAAAGCCGAAAAGTGGACTTTTTTGGGTAAGGATGTCTTTTGTGTTTCATATAAGGGTTCTATAAGAGTGCCTTCATAGAAGCATCCTTGGTAACATACTTTTTGACTGGAGGGTCCCCCATGTATTTCCGGCAAGCCCACTTACGAATGCTGTGGGTGGCTGTTCCTGAAGCCTCATCTAAGCATTACAGGGTACCCAGTACCGAATCCAGAAACTCGACCCTGAAATCCGGCAGCCACACCCCGGCCTCCTAACAACACAAACCCCTAAACTCAAGACTTAGACTCTGCATGAGCCCTAAACCCTAAAGTGGGGAACCCTACGTAATCCTATAGGCCCTGAAGCCTAAGCTCCATCAAGTCCGGGGCCTCGTAGATCCCCGTCGACGCACCGGAGGGCACCGCTGCACGGAACAGTGAGGTCTCGGTGACGAGATCGACCTGTTTCGGGATTAGGGTTTGTAGGGCTTGGGGCTTAGAGGGTGTAGTGTAGGGTGGTTTAGGGGTAGGGCTGCAGTTTCGAGTGTGTTAGGGGTTGGGGTGTTGCTCCGGCGCGATCTGTGCTGCTTTTTTGAGGATCGCGTTTAGCATCTATAATCCATAACCCTTCAGCCCCAAGCCAAACCTTGACTGCCCTACCACACCTCGACGGTGGGGTTCCCTCTGGAGTCGTAGATCTCACGGGCGCGGATCATAACAATCCTGCACCCGAGACTCCCCGAACCCTCTGTCAGACTTATAACGATGAGGGTTCAGGGTTAAGAGGAATAAATACTTCGACAGAGGGCACCGAAGGCTTTTGTTGCTCAGTTTGGGTCAGCCTTCGGCCACATCAAGGCCCTTGTTCGGAATCACAAGAGGGTTCCGCAACCGAGGTTTGTGTTGATGATAAGGCAAACTTGGGGCCAAATCCTAAACACTTCGTGCAAATCACACTAGAACCATCCCACCCATCTGTACTCTTGAGGGCCCCAACCGCTTTAGGTATCAAAGGCTTTTGGGCCATGGAAACGGCGTCCTGTCGTCGCCACCCGCTTGAGGGGCCGTGAGCATGGCCGACATCAGCTTCCTTGGATATGCACAGTCGGGAGCTCAAGCTACTGTTGCAGGCCCATAGCTAGGGGATTTGATTCATCTACGGTGGTGAGTAGCATTAATCTGAAAACCTTACAACCTAAACTCACTTTAACTCATCTTTTCCAC